TGATGCTGCATATTTGTGTATTTTCTGTTACTATAAAAGTAAAGTTAGTTTAAAAATTTCTCATTTTATATTAGCGTGTTTAATAACAGATTTATATATTGTAACTATACAGAGTTGCCATGCACCAAGCACAAAGGAAAGGTTTTAAAATTCGGAGGGCTCAGTGGAGCCGAGCTACAACTCCACTTGTGAAGGAAGTTTTTGAGACATTCTTTCCTGAACAGCTTGACAAGGATCAAGACAAGGAGAACAAGGTATACATAGAGTAGTGAAAATAATTCCCACTAAATAAATGCAATGAAAGATAGTTTTAAAGTGTCAGCAGAAACAGTAGGAACTGATGGAATGAAATTATATTTTTCTGCATGTTTTATCTTGTGAAAATGGCACTTGATTTTATCCCGAATTTAGAAGTTAATAACACATATTACTCTGTATAGTGTCAACAGGAAATATAAACTAATAAAGGCATTTTAATTAATGGTGATAATACTGCAACACATTTAACTTGTTTCCATCTTGGTTAGAATGCACAACAGAAGGACAGTTATCTGTGAACTGATTTTTGTGGTTAGAGTATGTGAAGACTAACAAAATTCACAGAATGACAGTATCTCTGTGAGTCAGAAGGAAGGTTAAATTGGTGATAAGACTCAAAGGAGACAAGGCAAGTTGTGATGATGCATATTCTTGGCAGAAATTGATTAGCTACTGAGAAAACTGGATGAAATTGCTTCAGAAATGAGCATAAGTTATAGAAAAACATAATGCAAGAATTTCTTGAAACCTCATGAAAAACATTTTATTCTGATGGAATGAATAAACATATGGGCCATTGTACCAAATGCATTGAAAAGCATGTTGTTTAAATAAAAAATAATAAAATAAAACTGCCTTTAATGTTTTGCTTACCTTCGCACAAAATTTGTTCCTTCTAGCAATGGTGCACTTTGCGTTGTTAGTTTTATATAAATGTTAAAGTTCAGTTTTGCAACCAGTTACAATGTGATTAAATTTCTTTGAAAAATAATCATTTAACAAGTAGCCAGGATTTTATGAGCCCTTAAAGCTGGCATTATGCTTTTTACTTTTGGAAGAAACTACAGGAATCTTTCCAAGATCACATGGTCATTTATTTACTGGTAGATTCCAGTGCTGAAGCATTTCATGCATTGAT